GAGTCTATTCTTTTCTCCTTGGATTATTGGGTAAGTTTTTGTCACATTGTGTTCACCCTTTCAAAGGCTCAGTCATCAGCTTAGCTGTCACTTTCCCTCTAAACAGGTGTTAGCTCATCCTCTGAGTGTGATGCCTTGTATTGTCCTGTTCATTCCATAGCATTTTCTGATCCCTCTTTGAGTTCTTCTGTGACCAACTTGTTGTTTAAGAATGTGTCATCTGATTTCTAGTTTTTCCAGTCTTCCCAATTTCTGTTACTGAATTCTAAATAACACACTCTACATTCATTCTATTCTTTTGACTTTATTAAGCTTTGTTTTATGGTCAAGCATATGCTCTGTCATTGAAATTCTCTGTGTGCACTTAATAAGCATGTACAGCCTGCTTGGATGAGTGGGCTGTTCTATGCATGTGTCAGTGTACTCGGTTACTAGTATTGCTCAAGTATTCCCTTCCTGTTTGATCTTCTGTCCAGTTATTCCATCTTCACTGAAAGGAATATGGGACTGGAGAGAGGGCTCTTGCAGAAGACCTGGGTTCAATCCTTAGCACTCACATGGTAAACTGCCTACAACTGCCTGTAACTCCAGTTCCAGAGGATCCGATGCCCTCTTCTGGCCTCCTCTGGTGCATATGAACTCACAGAAGCACATAGAGACACATGAAATTCACTAACTTTTTTAAAAAAGTAGAAAACTAGCCAGGCAATGGTGGTGCACACCTTTAATCCCAGCACTCGGGAGGCAGAGGCAGGCAGATCTCTGAGTTCAAGGCCAGCCTGACCTGTAGAGTGAGTTCCAGGACAGCCAGGGCTACACAGAGAAACCCTATATTGGGTGGAGGCGGGTGGTAGGAGGCTGAAGTATTCGTGTTGTTGTTTTACTACATTTTTCCCTCCCATTCTGTCGGGTTTTGCTTCTTGTGTTGTGTGTTGTTAGATGCGTACACGTTTATCATTGTTATGTCTTCCTGATAGATTGGTCCTCTTACTGTGATTAAGTATTCTCTATCTCTAGCAACATTTACTGCTTTAAAGTCTATTTGGGGCTGGATACACGGTTTAGGACCTAAGAGTATTTGTTCCAAAGGATCAGAGTTCGGTTCCCAGCACCCATGTTGAGTGCCTACACTACCTGTGACTTCAGCTCCACAGGGAATCCAACACCTGCTCCTAGCCTTTGCAGACACCTGTGGCAGACACAGGTGGTCTACACACACACACACACACACACATACACACACACCAGGTAAATCTTTTTAAAGGTCTATTTTGTCTGATGTCACAGGCACTCAAATCACGTGATAGCTGAAAAGCTGAACTAACAAACCCTTGGCGGACAGTGTGAGTCTGTGAAGAATTTGCATCTTTTCTTTGGCTTGCATATATTTCAAAGAAAAAAAAATTTTTTAACCAGTCAGCAAACCATCATCAGTGTTAGATCTAATCCACAGCCTGAAAACCTGCGGAGAGTCCCGTGCCCAGATGTAGACGTCTTCGTGGGATTGGTTAGTGCTTATCCTCTCCACTTCTTCAATCAAGTGAAAACCACACCCTCCTTTTTAATCCCTCAGAGTCCCCAGGACCAGGACTTTGCAGAAAATAAAAATGAAGGGAAAGATAACCAGGAAAAAGTCTATATACATCTTTAAAATGTGTGTGCGTGGGCTGGAGACATGGCTCAGTGGTTAAGAGCACTGACTGCTCTTCCAGAGGACCCAGGTTCAATGTCCAGCACCCACCTGGCAGCTCACAACTGTCTGTAATTCCAGTTCCAGGGGACCTGACACCCAATGGCAAAACACCAATGCATGTAAAAATATAAAAATCTTGTTTAAAAAATGTGTGTGTGCTAGGAAGCAGGATGCTTACTTTTGAACCTGCTTTCAAATAAAAGAGAAGAGGGCTTTTAAAAATTGAGGAGGGGGTCACTTTCTTGCATCAGTGTGGGTTAGAACTGGAGTCAGAATGACATTCTCCACACTGTGTGCGTTGACGTGCCATCGTGGTTACAGGTCCCCAAAGGAGAAACAGCCATTAAAAACCGACACAGTTCTTCTACTCTTAGCAAGGGTCTCTGATCTCTCCCTGCCCACTTGCACTGAAGCGTGACAGCCCAGATTCCCCCTGGGTGGGAAGACCGCCGTACGCCCTGCCAGGTTCCTGCCACTGCCGTGAGCCCTAAAGATTCAGGAGGTGAGGACAGCATGACTTGCACCTAGACGTGCGATGCGTTATCTTGAGTCCCCGGTGACAGTGTGTGAGTGGCCTGAGCACTGGCCTCTTCTCACTCTTTCAACAAGCAGCCACTTTGATTGCAGGAACCCACTCTGGCTGGGTGTAGTAGTCATTTTTAATTTTATAACAAAGACAAATACATCCTATGGGAGTAGGAAGTGGTTTTACTGGTGATATTAATGGAACTGTGACCTCTCCCATACCTATGGTCCTACAAAACAAAATATGTTTGTACTATGTCAGGCAAGTTCATTCTGTGCTCTTCCTTGAAGCAAGCTGCAAAGGAAATGTACTTTTAATAAGCCCAGAGAGTAGAATGGTGTGTGTGTGTGTGTGTGTGTGTGTGTGTGTGTGTGTGTGTGTGTGTGTGTGTGTGTGTACAGGCATAGGGTCATTTGCAACTGTGGACTTCTAGTGCTGCTATTGGCTGACATACAAACAATATGTTTTTAGTTGTTTGGACGGACGTCTTTGAGTTTCAGCGGGCCGTATGCTGACACTGAGGCAGGCCTTTGGGAGGCAATAGCTGGGTGAAATCTAAGCGTTTGGGGGAGTCCACAGAAGCAAAGGGACAAAGGGACTCGGAGGCAAAGATGATCCCATTTGAAATTGCTGTTTCTTTAGCTGAGAGCTGATGACACCGTGTTTACGATTTCCTCTAGAAACTTCTGATGCCAGTGTTCTTTGTTGGAAATGGTTGTCTGAGAAGAAAGTAAATGAATATGAAGGATTTATAGTTCAGTTAAAGGAATTAAGCTGTTTCCTGTTGTTTCTGTTTACCCTTGGGACATTCTGTCTGTCTGTCTGTCTGTCTATCATCTCTCTCTATTGTAGAGAGACTTGCAGGAGGAAGAGAGAGCACCTGGGTGTCTGCCTTGGCAGCCTCATCTAGGGGGGAGGATGTGGTTCTGACCAGCACCCCATCTCCACATCACTTGTTTTCTCCCTTTGCTCACCCACCGAGAATTCCTAATCAACAAAACAGCTCTATTATAAACGGTGGCAGTCGAAATGAACGCTGATCAATGACAAGTGGGTTGTTTCCCTCAAGTGCAGATGGATAGTGCTTTCTAACTTGAGTTTTAACTTGAATTGTTATTATTAAATGATATATGATTATTCTAGAGGAACCAACAGAGAAAATTACCCAGCTGGGCATGAGAACTCTGTGTGAGTTCAAGGCCAACCTAATCTATAGAGTCAGTTTCAGGCCAGCCAGAGCTACATAGTAAGACCTTTCCTCAAAAAACAAAACAAAACAAAACAAAAAAAAAGAAGGAAAAAATAAAAAGGAAAAGAGAGGAGGAGAGAATAACTCATAAAACTAACATCCAAAGATAACTAACTTTTCCCCCTCATACTTCCTATACCCCTGGCCCCAATTCCTTAAAAAAAAAAAAAAAAAAGGTACCTAGCCAAGTAGCCAAGGCTGGCCATCTGTCCTGCTTCCTTGACTAACCTTCTGGGATTATGGGTGTGGATCCAGTGTTTTCTGTTTTCTCTGCCACTGCAAGTCTGAAATCAAGGTGTTTCCAGGGCCAGCCCCCACCGTACCTGTTAGGAATCTGCGTCTTCACCTCCCATCTCCTTAGTCTGGCTTCCCAGCATCCTTTGACTGGCAGACATCACATCAACCTCTGCTTCTGTTCTTCTTATGATAGGCTGGGGGCCCACTCTCCTTAGCTTAAGTAACTCCATTCACTCAACTCTCTTTCCATGTAGGCCCCATTCAGAAGTACCAAGTGCTCAGGACCTCACCAGCCTCACTCACACAGCCACCGTGCAGCCACTGTGGGGGTTTGGCAACCCTTGCCTGCTGATAACTCTTGTTTCACTAATAGTCATCCTGTGTCAGCATCTAGGTTCGAGGGAGGACCAGCCAGCGGGTCCGGGCCTTCTGGTTTTTTCATTCAGGGCTCTTGGTCCCTAAAGTTTGGAACCAAGTCAGAGAAGTGAGAACCCAAAGAAGGGATCATTGTTTAAGGATGTCCATGGATTCCTGCAGACAAGAGCAGGGTGGACAGTGAGAACGTTTCTAGAAATAGCTGGTGTTCGTTCTGGTTCCTGGGAGGAAGGACAAGGAAGTCCAGCAGGTAGTTAGATTCCTCCTTGCCTCTGAGAGACAATGCCACACTTTCCAAAGAGGTGTTCCGGGGATGATGCGAAGGCAGCTCTCAGCAAGCGGATAAGCCTTGCGCGGTGAAGAGATGCGCCTAACCGGATGGAACGTGTGCATTTCCTGGAACACGTGCATTTCCCGGCCTGCTTCCCCACTCATCCCGAGTTACCAGGCAAGGACTAGAAAGCCTTCAGGTGGTGCCTCTGCCATTCAAATGATAATCCCTCCGGTTTGCTTACTTCTGCCTTGCCCCATCTCTCCCAAGTGGTAGCACCTGTGTGTTCCCAGTGGCCACAGAGGCCCTGGGGGGTGCTTCCTGGGCCACTTAACATAGCCGGAGTTTATGCAGAACCTCTGCCCCCCCCCCCTACTGCACTCCCAAAGCTTTTGCACGTGGTGGTTCCCTGTAACTGCATATTAGGGTGTCAGGGTAATCCCACTGAAGAACTGAAGCAGAAGCTGGGTTCCTTTGGGAGACAGACAGACACGCAGAAGGCTGGATTCAGGGACAAAGCACAAGCTGTTTGCTGTGCCGTGAGGGACTGGCGTGAGGGACTGGCGTGGCTGCCGCAGAGCCCCAGGGACAGTCCCGTCTACACTGTAGACGTACATTTTCAATCATTTCTCTGTTTTCCCCTCCTCAGATGCAGGGAGTCCTTTCATAGAGACGCACAGCGACATACCTGAAGTTGTGTACATGACGGAAGGTCAAGAACTCATCATCCCCTGCCGGGTGACGTCACCCAACGTCACAGTCACTCTGAAAAAGGTAAAGCTCAATGCTACTCCCATCACGGTTTTCCTTCAAAAGTGTTACAACATGCAGGGCGGTGGTGGTGCATGCCTTTAATCCCAGCACTCGAGAGGCAGAGGCAGGCAGATCTCTGTGAGTTCAAGGCCAGCATGGTCTACAGAGCGAGTTCCAGGAAAGGCGCAAAGCTACACGGAGAAACCCCGTCTCGAAAAACCAAAAAAAAAAAAAAAAAAAGTATTATGACATTTTAAGCCTCTGGAATAATTTTCTCACAGATATCTGGACTTCTCCTTATAGAAGAATCTTAGGACATTATCATTTGGCTCTTAAACAGCCTGAATCTTAAAACAGCCCTGTAAGAAGAACAGAAGCAGAGGCTGACATGATATGGACAGGAAACACTAGTAGGGTGGTGTGTATTTAAGGAGAGTCAAATGATAATGTCCTAAGCATAAATCTAAATAATAAAAGAACCAAACCCATGACAAGTTTTGGTATACTGTCAGTCACATATCCAAAAGCGAGGGTCAGTTGTGTCGCTTATGTGGATGAGCTGGTGTCTGGGTAGGGTATCCATAGCTAGAGTTGGGGCCATCAGCAGGGCCACAGGATCTCCTATTTGGGAATCACACAAAAGGAACCAGCCTTAGGTCTGAGTTTGTCCTGTCCTAGAGACAAAGGCCTAAGTCGTGGGTGGTACCCAGACTTCACATCTTAGAAAAAAGGAGGGAAAGAAATCCATCCATGAGAGTCCTCCTCAAATTCTTAAGTTGTATATCTGGAAAAGGAAGAGGTTTCCAATCAAGCCCAGAGAAGAGAGAACGAATATGTCAGACCATCCAAAGAGCCGGAAGGATGTTCAAAAGGATGTACTGTTCAAAAGCTTTCCCAAGAGAACTTTAGAGGGTAAGGACCAACCAGCCCCGACCCCACCCAGCACCTAGCCAGTCCACACAGGTGGATATCAGGGGCTGGAGAGATGGCTCAGTGGTTAAGAGCACTGGCTGCTCTTCCAGAAGACCTGGCTTTAATTCCCAGCAACCACATGGCAGCTCACAACTGTCTGTAACTCCAGTTCCAAGGGATCCAGCACCCTCATACACATGTGGGCAAAACACCCAATGCACATAAAATACAAATAAATAAATTATTTTTAAAAACAAAAAAGTGGGTATCAGGCAAGCTTTGGGCAGTGACTGTAGTTGGGAAGCCAGAAGTGTCCCTCAGGGACAGGTTTGAGTCCCCATCCCATCTGTGTCCTGTTGCCAGTAGGTGTCAGGGCTGGAGTCAGTAGGGGAGTCTTACTCAACTGCTCAAGAAAATACCTTGGGCCGGGCGGTGGTGGCGCACGCCTTTAATCCCAGCACTCGGGAGGCAGAGGCAGGCAGATCTCTGTGAGTTTGAGGCCAGCCTGGTCTACAGAACAAGTTCCAGGAAAGGCACAAAGCTACACAGAGAAACCCTGTCTCGAAAAACACACAAAAAAAAAAAGAAAGAAAGAAAGAAAGAAAGAGAGAGAGAGAGAAAGAGAGAGAGAGAAAGAAAGAAAGAAAGAAAGAAAGAAAGAAAGAAAGAAAGAAAGAAAGAAAGAAAGAAAGA